AGTACTAGTACTAGCACTAGTACTAGCACTAGCACTAGCACTAGCACTAGCACGAGTACCACTACTACTACTACTACTACTCCTACTACTACTACTCCTACTACTACTCCTACTACTACTCTTACTACTACTCCTGCTGCTGCTGCTGCTGCTGCTGCTGCTGCTGCTACGATCATGCTGCGTCATCGCTTGCTTATTGTATTGCTGCTCTGTCCATGGTTTCTTGTTGGCCTTTGCCTTGGCAGTTGGCCTTGGCTGCCATTATCTTGGGATTTTCTTGCAAAGCGTTTGTGACAGAGAGTGCGCGACACAGAAGTTGTGTGCATGTATATCTGTACTCTGTATGGCAAGATGGTTAGGAAGACGCCACACTGCATAAATCCGTCTATCATGCACATGTCAGCGTACACATACACACACATACGCACAAGCAGGCATGCATCATACAGCTAGCCGTTCCTTCATTCAGAATACATTCATGTGTTCATCTTTCATTCATGTATATGTTTCGCTTCTTGTCCTAATTAGAGCACGTGGGCATGTGCCATCCATCCTGCACATGCGTACGCACGTTGTCAAGAGCCAGCGAAAACATGAAGGAGTAAGAGACTCCGTGTATCATACGTGATTCTACAGCGCTCTTTGTCGAACTCAAGATGCACTGAGGGCTGCTGCTTCAAGATTGGCTATGGAGCCTTGATGAAGCTGGGCCCTTCATCGTGGGGGAGGGGTCTCGATGGGTTCTCACGGTTTGAATGGGAAGGCGTAAGGCTTGCTGTCGTCCACGGGAGCAGCTAGATCACGCTCGCGCTGAGGCCGTGTTGCCTCAGTGTCGAGGAACTGGCTGAGCAGGCTCTCGGCTCTCTTGGGGCATAGCTTCCACACCGGATGGCTTTGCTATCCCGTGCCTTCGTGTCGTAAGCTTTGGCCCCACAGCCGCAGCCCCCAGGGCACCGGTCAACTTTGCAAGTGACGTAGTAGGAGCGTAGACCGGATTCTGATCTGACTCCAAGCATTCCAAGCTTCCGAAACCGGCAGGATTGCTACTCCAGCGACATCCGGGATCCGGGCGCGGCCCAGCCCGACGCCCCGGCCCGAGCACGGACACAACCTCTCCAGCATCGGGATGTCCCCTGATCCTTCTGGAGAGTCCTCGTGGTGGTTGGGAGTGAGTATTCGAAACATGCTTGGTGCGGTAAATGCTATCAGGCTTGAATCCTTGAGCCCAAGCTGGAAACGACTGCTACTCTGGAAACAGCTGTAGTGTCACTAAATGCGAAGTGCTGCTTTTTTGATAGTGTGGTCAGTGTCTGAGACTCAACCCAACGCGGCAGAACCAAAGACCTGAACCGCCAGCCTGCAGTAACCCTTAGGTCCCAGGTCCATTTCTCGGGGCTCGGCCTTCTAAGCACCGTCCAGGCCGTTCAGGGCCTGCTAAAGCTCAGCGTCCGCACGGTGGTCGGTGGGGACCGCGGCTGGCGGGCCCAATGTCCGGAAAACGCGTGGTCCCCGGAAGTTCGCGGAAGTCAGCTATTGAACAGGCTCAGTGCTTGCGCATCTCGTTGGTTGCCAAGCAACACCGGTAAGACAAGCCGTCGAAGGACGGAGAACGCTAAGGGGCCTTTAGATGGCAACAGGTGGTGGGGCTGCTTGCCTGGTTCCTGAAGAAGAATCCTCTAACAGACACCGTTGCGGGCGTTTTGTCACCCAGGTCTGCTGCTTTTCAATTTCTTTGAACCGCCGCCTTCTTTGGGCTCCACGCAGCGTTAGCGTTGGCTCTGCAAGGGCCGACATGGAAGGAGTTTCCGGAGCTTTCCAGTCGGTTCTGGCAGACCTGGATGACATCATCGCGAAGTCCAACAAGGTGTGGTCGGGGGTCGGGGGGGGGGGGGGTCTACAACTGGACAGTAAAGTTCTCAGGGATCTGGTTTCTGTCGCTTCGAACCTGGGAGCTTCAAGAGAAGCGCAGTTTGTGTTTTTCCGACCTCCAGGTGAAGACCTCGCTTCAGGAGGGCTTCTCTTCGGGGCACCTTGCACCAGGAGAGGCCCATCCTGCGAAAGGTCTGGACAATGAGCACAACGAGGACTTCCTACTTCCCAAGGCCCTGGAGTTGCATTACCAGAAGAAGATCGACATTGCGCTTTCAGCGCCGAGGTTGAAGGATGCAGGCAAGGCCAAATCTCTAGACCTTCCGGTCTACTCCCTCTATGGCGAGTGGGAGAAGTTGAGCCCTTTTGCAGACGATCCTCTCTCCTACTATCACCATTCCCCTGAGAAGTTTCTGCAAAGGCAGGAGACTGTGGGGGGCTTCGGCAATTCCCTCGGCTTGTCCCTGTCCAAAAACATAAAACAGAAACAGGGTCGGTTTGTGATGCTTCCTCACTCCCCCGGCCGGATCGCTTGGTCTTGCTTTGGGCTTTTGCTTGTCTTGTGGGATGCGATCTCCATTCCACTTTTGGTGAGTTGGGAAATCTCCAACCTCTTCTTCTTCACAATGACCATGATTGCTATGATCTATTGGTCCATCGACATGCTTCTGAGCACCCAAACCGGCTTCTTTGAGGCGGGAGAGCTCATACTGTCCAGTAGAAGGGCCCTGCTGCACTACTTGAAAAGCTGGTTCCTTTTCGATGCAACGCTCGTGACCCTAGACTGGGTCATGCTCTCTTTGGAGGGCCAGGGGACGCAGAGCTTCCTCATGGGCTCTAAGTTTATTCGAATCATCCGCGTCGTTCGCACACTGCGCCTTATCCGGCTTCTCAAGCTCAATGACATCGTGCGACTTGTGGAAGAGCAGGTGAGCAGCGGATACACGCAGTCAGTGCAGCTGTTGGCTGCAGTGGTGAAGTCCGTCGTGACGATCATGTTTTCGGTGCACCTTCTCGGCTGCTTCTGGTATTATGTCGGTCGGACTGAAGTGGATGCTGGTGACGAAGCCAACTGGCTGCAAGCCTCCGGCTACCAGAACAGTGCCGTGACGGATCAGTACCTGGCAAGTTGCCACTGGATTTTGGGCCAGTTCACCCCAGCCCCTATGAATATCCATGCGCAAAGCAACGCAGAGAGACTCTACAACATCTTCGTGATCTTCTTCTCCCTCCTCGTCATGGGCAGTGCGATCTCCCGTGTCTCGGCCTCGATCCAGGCGGCCATCAAGATCAATTCTGAGGCCCAGGATCGGAGAAGACAGGTCACGCAGTATCTCAAGGCCAGAAGCTCAGTCAACCCGAAACCCTATTGTGTGTCAAGAGGGCTGCCATATCCACCGGTTCTGCCTAAGGTCAACAAGGTAAGCCAGGAGCTCCAGATCCGAGTGATGAGGCCTACTTGAGGTTGTTCTTTGGTCTTCTGCTTCTATGGTGTCTGTTGCACTTATTCAATTTCTTGCTCACGTTTGTAAGATTGGACGGGTGAACTCCGTGGAATCTTGGTCACACGACGAAATTTTGGGTTGAAATGTGATGCTACATGATCCGACGAAAACCAATGCGGTCAGTACAGGACTGAGTTGCGGTCGTTATGGGAATTTACGGGGATGTCGCAGAATGAGCCTATGGATGTCAGAAGAGCATGAATAGTACTTAGTTATCGTCCTAGTCGCATCAGCAGCAGCTGGAGTAGTGGAGTAGTCGAAGCGGCAGTGCAGTGGTATTGGGGGTTGTAGTAGGAGGAGTAGAGTAGAAACGGAGCTGGTGGTGGTGGTGGTGGTGGCGATGGTGGTGATGTTGTTGGTGGTGGCAGTAGTACTCCGTTGTCGTAGTAGTAGCAGCAGTAGCTGTAGCAGAATTTAGGTCGTAGTCGTAGTAGTCGTCGTCGCAGTAGTCGTCGTCGAAAACCTAGTGGTCATGGGCGTGGTAGTGTTAGTGCCAGTGGAAGTAGTATGGAGGTGGTAGTAATAGTAGCAGTGACAGCAGCAGCAGCAGAAGCAGCAGCAGCACTCGTACTAGTACTAGCACCACCGCCAGCACCAGTGTCATCATCATCATCATCATTATCATCATCAGCATCATCTGCATCATCAGCATCATCAGTAGTCGCAATAGTCGTGCCAGCACGTGTCCAACTCGCCCGTTGCTCCTCCTCCTCCTCCTCCTCCTCCACCTCGTCATTACTGCGGCATCATCAGACTGATTTGCCACAGATACTGCCCAAATGGTCAATGTCATGTGCCCTACCCGCACGGCCCAGCCCTAAAACACGCCTCAGCACCTAGCACCTTGAAGTTAGCTGCACAGGTTCGTGGACTATCACCTGTCCCGGCTCAGCTCGGTCCAACTGGACGAGAGCCTGCTTTCAGCGACTCTTCTGATTATAGACTATCACCAATAGTCAATAGTCGTCGCGACAGCATCACCGACAAGCAGGAGAACACGAACAGCAGGACAGCAGCAAGAAGCACACCAACTACAACAATGACTGCAAATTGCTGCGCGCACTGCTGCTGCTTCTGCCATTGCTGCTTTTGTGCTGCTGCTTCGAATACTGCTACTACTACTACTACTACTACTACTACTGCTCCTGCTGCTCTACTTCTACTATTACTACTTCACTGCTGCCGCTACTGCTACTACTACCACTGCTTCGACTACTGCTACTACTGCTTCTGCTGCTGCTGCTGCTTCTGCTGCTGTTACTACTACTACTACTACTACTACTACTACTACTACCACCACGACAGTTACCGTTACTTACTACATCATTGTCTCCGGCAAAAGTGGTGTTACTGCATGTTTCCCTCACTCTCCCATTTTCTCTGGCTCCTACTGTTGCTTCTGCCGCGACGGTTCTGCCAGTGGTCTTGTCTGTGACGGTTTGTGGCGGCAAATTTTTTAGCGATGCGCCACGTCGTTTGCTGCCGGTTACATGCTGTCACTCTCGCTGAATGACCACAGCTTGAATGCAACCCCTTTCGGCCTTGATCCCTGCCGTACCGATACAATCAGATATCGACAGTGTCCCAGGAAACGCTCGTCGACGAGCTCTACATGGACCGCCGTGGACCCCTACTAAAAGCCCATCCGATGTTCAACTTCTTGTTCGAGGTTTCCCCGAAGGCTCAGAAAATCTGTTGGGACACGCTTAGGAGCGCCCTGAGCGCCCTCCCGGTCAGCTAAGGTTGGGTTGTGGGGTTGCGGTTGTTGGCCAGGCTGTCACACGGCTCTGTGGTCTTCTGAAGTTGAACATGTTTGAGGATGGAGAGTTGATCTTTGCTCGGTACAGCCAAGCCAAGGGCATGTATATTGCCTGCACAGGCACCTACATGTTAAGTCTGGGTGGGAAGGACAGCAAAGCCACCGTTGACGGCTTCGAGTTTTATGCTGAGATCAGCTTGTTCATGAAGTTCTCACATTCCATGTCGCTCTTGAGCATCTCGTTCAATGATGTGTTCTTTCTCGATCCCATGCAGCTGGCAGATTGCTTAAAGGATTTCCCAGAGTGCTGTGGGTTCGTATACCAGTACGCAAAGACGATGCAGAGTGACCTCCATACCGGAGCGTTTGGTGCCAACGATGTGATTCCCTTGGAGAGTGTACTCTCCCTTTGTGAAAGCACTGATGCATACAAAATTTTGAACATCTCCGAGCGGAAGACTCTGGAGAAGTTCGTAGTGCCTGCGTGTGACCAGGCAAAGGAGTCCTTCTCTCAGTGGTTGCAGAGGTTCTTGAACAAGACAGATCCCGAAAATGTAGCAAGTCGGTACCACATGCTGGCGGAGCTTTCACACTTCTTCCCAGAGCTCGAAATGGAGAATGGCAGCTATTCGGCATTCGTGGATGAGCCTGCCATTCATCGAGCTCTATCCTGCATGGCTAGTGTTCTCTGGCTGGTCAAGGACCGAGAAGGAAGGTTGAAGGCAGAAGACAGGCCTTCAGTTTTTCCAGGTTTTTGGGAGGGCAACTGAGGGTTTTTCGACTCTGGCAGGACAGTTTCGACGAGTTCAGCCGGCCACAGAAGTCCGGGGATAAGATGCCCCTGGAGATGTGGCAACGGCTTCAAGAGTTCGTCCGATGGACGGGGGTGAGGTCTGACGTGCGCAGCCTCTATGGGACCTTCGTGCTCATTGTAGCCAGGGGGTTGTCAAAGTCGAAGCAGCTTCTGTGGCAGTTCCCCGAGAAGCATCAGCAGCCGGATGCCGCGGTCACCCACATGCTGCGAGCCCGCCACAACGTTTTACCCAGTGCTGCTGAGCTGGACTTGGACATGCGCACCGTCATGTGCAAGGTGTCATCCCTTCATCAGGTCTTTGCTATTGGCCAGTTCATGCAAGGGGAGAACACACCCCTGAACATCCGGAACTTGCAGGAGGAGTTGAAGATCGAGTCGAATCCTGCGGTTTTCAAGATCTTTTTGCTTTCGGAGTTTGCCTCGTTACTCGGGATCGGAGCAAGCTCCCGTACTTCCGGCTCAAGCTTCCTGAACAAGCGCACGGGTCGAACCGTCATCAGCAGTTTGCACGCCCTCCAGCAGCTGGAATCACAGCCCTGTGTATCCGTATACTGGAACTACCTCTGTACCTGGGCTCGGACCCTGCAGCTGGCTTTGGAGGAGCCCGCGGACTTTGCCTTCGCCCGCCTGGCATGCATCTGTCGGATGAACGATCGGAATCCGAGGCTGAAGCTCTTGTATCTGAGCTGGGCGAACATGAACCAAGCGGACAGGGCAGTCTTGACGGACTTCTTTCTGGCAGACGGCATTCGAAATCATGCATGCGTCTTCAGCTATTTGCCAGCATGCTTTGACAATGCTCAGAAAAATCCGGCAGTGGGCTTTGCCACTTTTCTAGACCTTTTGGTCGAGCTTGTTGAGATCGTTTATATGCAGATGGAGTCGAATGCCACACCGCGCCAGCCAGTCCTCAACCTCTTTGACCTTGCGGCCTTCACGGGCGTTGTTCGCTCACGGAGTGTGTTCTGCTCCTGTCTCGAGCATACAAAGATCCTGCACATGCCGAACGGCGACATGCAGTTAACGATGACCAGCAAGTATCCCGGTCTGGAATTTAGCCAAACTTGAACGTACGCGGCGAGAGTGAGAGTGACTTTGGATGGATGTGTTTTAGTTTGTGTCCTGTATCCTCGCCAGACTGTCAGGAACTGGTCCCGGACGGAAGAAGCCACAGACCATCCGATCAGCGTTCCCAGCTCTTTGCGGCAGTTGGTGCGGCGCCAGAACTTGCACTCCAGGATTGTGATCGAGGTGCCTTTAAATCCCACCTCGGAGTCTATGGCAGAAGAGCACAATGCCGTAGTATCCTCGCAGCTAGTGTAAGGTGGTGTGACTGCCTTTGGCGCAGAAGGCTGCGCCCATCTCATTAGTACATAGGTCGTGTCCAGTTTCCTCGTAGTGTTGTAGCCGTGCCAGTCTCTCTTGCAGATGGGATAGTCGGCTGCCTCTCCGAATGCCAAGACACAAGATGTGAATGGCAAGGCGCCGCCTTTCCCTCTCCGTTCTTATACGACTGTGCTCCGGAGAACATTTAATCCAAATTCTTTGTCCTGGCTTTGGTGCGAAGCTCTGTCTACGAAAGTAGTGGTCATCGCACCCGCAGAGTTTTGTAAGATTCGCCATCACATACGCAATCTGCTGATGCAGAAGTCGGCTTATGCCAGAAACAGCGCAAAGAGCCGAAGCCCTTCCCTGTGTTTTCGAAAGGAGGAACTAGCGGCGATGATGATGTTGACGTATGTTGGCTGTTGCGATTGTTGTTGATGGTTTTGATAGTGATGATGATGATGACTATGATGACGGGGACTATGTGGCGATGGTAGTCGCAATGGAAACGACGACGGGTTGCTATTGCTACCGACAGTGAGCAACGACGGCATACTCGTTACCAAGCTGTTGCTTCCATGGGTGATGATGACGACGATGATGATCATGATGCGGATGATGGTCTTGATGTTCCTGACGTGTTGTTGTTGTTGTTGTTGTTGTTGTTGTTGTTGTTGTTGTTGTGGTTGTTGTTGTTGTCGTTGTTG